ACCCCGGGAGTCGAGCAACCGACAAGCTGGTTTCCGACCGCTTCGTCTGGCCTGGTATGCACAAGGACCTGAAGGCATGGACACGGGCTTGCATTGCCTGTCAACGGAGCAAGATCCAGCGGCACAACAAGGCCCCCATTGGCACCTTCCCCGGCCCTGGTTCAAGGTTCAGCCACGTTCACCTGGACATTGTAGGCCCGCTGCCTCTGTCCAATGGTTGTTCCTATCTCCTCACCTGTGTGGATCGGTTCACTCGGTGGCCTGAAGCAATTCCCCTACCTGACATTGCTGCTCCAGCGGTGGTCAAGGCTTTTCTCAGTCGTTGGGTTGCTATCTTTGGTGCACCCTCCACAATCACGACTGACCGTGGTGCCCAATTTGAGTCTAATCTCTTCCAGTCTTTACTCTCCTTTTTAGGCTGTACCCGCATTCGGACGACAGCCTATCACCCGGCTGCTAACGGGATGGTCGAGCGGTTTCACCGCCAGCTGAAGGCCCCCCTACGCGCCGCGGCCGATCCGGAGAACTGGACGGATCACCTTCCCCTGGTCCTCTTGGGCATCCGCTCCGCTCTGAAGCCGGACCTTGACTGTTCCGCAGCTGAACTGGTGTTCGGCTCCACCGTCCGACTCCCCGGTGAGATGATCTCGCCAACCCCTCAAGGTGCAGTTGAGGATCCTAACAACCTCCTGCATCGTCTCCGGCAGTTTATGCGGACACTTTCTCCGTTTCCTCCCAGGTCCTCCGCCTCGCCGTCTTATCTCGAGAAGGACTTGGCAACGTGCTCTCACGTCTACCTTCGATGTGATCGAGTCCGCAAGCCTCTGCAACCGCCCTATGACGGCCCATTTCGGGTGCTCTCTCGCGGGCCGAAGACTTTCCGCATTCAGCGCGACAATCGTGAAGAGGTCGTGAGTGTGGACCGCCTAAAGGCTGCCGTCCCTGACACTCCTCCGGATGAATCCTGTGGTCCTGTACCTTCTGCTTTCCCTCATGCAGCCTCTATTCCACCCTCCCGTATTTTCCCGCTGCCCTCCTGTCCGCCATCTCCGACTGCCACCACCAACTCCAACACTTCCGCGACCGGATTTATTCACTCTTCTACGGACCCTGTATATATCACTCGCAGTGGTCGTCATGTACACTTTCCTGATCGGTTGGTCACGCATTTCTTTTAGACCTGTACACATCCTTCGGCGTCGTTTTCGCCGCCCTCCGGTCTCGGAGGGGGGTACTGTGCCGAGGCCCCAAACTATCTTGCCTTTCCCTACCTGTTCCTCGTTCTTCAACTTACTGGTTGTTTAACTGAATGGAATGAACACAACTCGACGCGACGCGCTTGGCATGAGTGGGATTGTCAGGTCGTTTGACTTTTGATTATTACGTCTTCCATAACTCTGGTCTTATCCTGATTTTTATAGTCTGGGATTGACGGTTCTGTCTTTAACGCTCGCTACAGTTATTGAGGCGGTTGAGGAGGATTCGTGCGAAGATCGTCCCGGCGATGTTCAGCAGGGAGATGCCGCGGTGATTGTCGCAGACTTGGCGATTCCCTTTGCGCTTGTACAGGTGCACGATGGTTGCGTCTTTGAAATCTTGCGGGACTTTACCTTGACGCCACATCTCTTGGAAGAGCGCAGTCAGGTGATCCATCAGTTGGGGACCTCCGTGCTTGTAGACCTCAGCAGGGATTGCGTCCGATCCGGGTGCTTTCCCGCTAGAGAGCTGCTGCACGGCCCTGATGTTCTCCTGGGGAGATGGCGGGAAGTCGAGATCCACGTTGGTCTCCACTTGCGGCAAACGCCTGATGGCGGCGTCGGAGATGACGGAGGGGCGGTTGATGACGCCTCGGAAATGCTCGGCCCATCGCTGTAGGATTTGCGTCTTCTCAGTCAGGAGAGTACTGCCGTCGGCGCTGAGGAGAGGAGCAGTGCCCTTTTTCGGCAAACCGTAGACAGCTTTGATCGCAGAGAAGAAGTTCTTCCATTCGTTTCGGTCCGCGTACCCTTGGATCTCCTCAGCTTTGTGAGCAGTCCAGGCGTCCTGCATCTCGCGCAGTCGTTGCTGAAGTTGGCGGCGACTGCGGTAGAAGGCAGCTTTGGTGGCATCAGTGGGGTGATCTACGTAGGATTTGTGTTGGCGGTTCTTCTCAGCAAGCAGATTTCTGATGGCGGCGTCGTTGTCGTCGAACCAGTCCTGGTGTTGGCGGTGAGCGCGACCGAGGACGGCGAGCGCCGTCGACTGGACCGTGTCTCGCAGTTGACACCAGCGGTTCTCCACGGAGGCGTTCTCGGCAGCGGCGGCGTCGGCGGCAGCGGCAGCGACTGGAAGGTTGTCTCCATTGCATAAGGGAGGTAGGAGAATGACAGCAAGCAGCTTTCGACCTATTAGCTTAACTTGCCTCCCTTGCAAAACGATGGAAGCTATAGTAAAAAGCGCTATACAGCAATTTTGTGAAGAAAATAACATCTTGCAGGATTTTCAACATGGCTTCAGGAGAGGACGTTCCTGCCTCTCAAATCTGCTAGCTTGTCTGGAAATCTGGACCAGGGCTCTAGAAGAGGGTTTTGAGGTCGATGTCGTGTACATCGATTTCCACAAAGCTTTTGACACTGTCCCACACCAACGTCTTCTTCACAAATTGAGCGACATCGGCATCCGGGGAGATCTTCTGAACTGGATTAGGGCGTTTCTGGTTGGTCGGAAACAACGTGTCTGTATCGGGGATGATATGTCAGAATGGGTGAATGTGACCAGTGGTGTGCCGCAAGGCTCACTTCTGGGACCATTGCTCTTCATCCTTTATGTTAACGACAGCCTTCAGGAACTCGACAGCGGCAAAATAATGTTTGCAGACGACGTTAAACTCTGGCAAGTCATTAAGGGTCCGAATGATCAGAGATCCCTTCAAGATAATCTGCACCGACTGCAAGCGTGGTCGAAGAAATGGCTTCTAGATTTCAATGTGGAGAAGTGTGCCGTCCTTCATCTGCGTCCAACCAACTCTCATTCAAATGAGTGTCTGAGGACGTATCACCTGAAAGATATAAGGCTCCCCGCAGAATCTTCACAGAAGGATCTCGGGGTTTGGATACAGAACAACCTGAAACCAACACTGCAGTGCCACAAGGCTGCAAAAAACGCCATGGGAGTGCTGCATGCAATAAAAAGGGCTTTCGTAAATTTTGACCAAGACCTTTTTGGGAGAGTTTACGGCACATTTGTTCGGCCCCACTTAGAATATGGCATACAAGCATGGCGGCCATGGCTGGTAAAGAACCAAGCATGCCTCGAATGGGTACAACGGCGTGCAACAAAGCTGGTAAACGGTCTAAAAAGCCATTCCTACACAGACAGACTGAATTGCCTTAATTAATTCCCTCTGTGTTACAGGCAGCAAAGAGGTGATCTTATTCTCGTCTACAAGATAATACATGGCCTTGAGTATGGACTTAAATTTGAGGACATGTTTCAGTGGCACCTTTCACCCAATCTTCGTGGTCACTCGATGAAGTTACGGACAACAATGTTCGGGCTGAATCTTCGTTCTGAATTTTTCACGCAGAGGGTAGTGGAGAAATGGAACGATCTCCCTCAGACAGTCGTGGAGGCTACATCCCTGCAACTCTTCAAAAAACGCTTGGATGATTATTTGTGTCCCCTGTTTTCCCTCGACGGTCTGAATCCGAACTAATACCCCTGGTCCCCACAAATATTTTCTCTGAGACAATGCTACTCAAATGAACAAAGTACTGTTTTAATAGTGAATATTTTTTGTTCGTGTACAGTTATTTCTAACGAGCTGACATGTAATCAATAGGGTTTTCAAAGGCTTTGCCTATTATTCTTACCAAATAAACTGAACTAAATAAACTGAGCCGTTGAGCTAGCTCATTCCTGAAATGAAGATGGTGAGCGGGCAACGACAACAAAGCAACATTCAGCTTACCTGTGGGTCGCTTACCTTGTGGTCTCCTGCGAGGCTGTAGGCGAATACGCATCTTCGAGATGACGAGGCGATGGTCGGTCCACCCGTCAGCGCCCGCGATCGCCTTTGTCACCAGCACGTCCCGCTGATCTCGCCTCCGGACGAGGACATAGTCCAGCAGGTGCAACTGGCGCGGTCGATGATGCCTCCAGGTGGCGTTCTCTCGCTCCGGCAGACAGAAGAAGGTGCTCGTCAGGATGAGGCGGTGTTCTGCGCAGGTGCGGAGAAGCAGCAGACCATTGTCGTTTGAGCCGCGGAGACCGTGGGGACCCAGCACTCCTCTCCAGGCAGTATGGTCTGTGCCGACGCGGGCGTTGAAGTCACCAAGGACAATCAACTTGTCCGCCTTCGACACAGTCGCCAAGAGGGCGTGCAGGTCCTCGTAGAATTCGTCTCTGACGGCTTCGTGGTTGGTCATCGTCGGAGCGTAGGCGCTGATGATGGTGGCGTATTTGCCTTCTCGTCGGAGAGGCAGGTGGAGGCTCATCAGACGATCGTTGATGCCCTGCGGCAAACAGGGCAGTCGTCTCATGATGTCGTTCCGAATGGCGAAGGCGACACCCGCGTCTCGTCGCTCTGCCTTGGGTCGACCGCTCCAGAAGAAGGTGTAGCCGGCACCCACCTAATCCAGTTGGCCTTGTTCGAAGAATCGGGTCTCGCTGAATGCGGCGATGTCCACCTTGTAGCGCGCCAGTTCCCGTGCCACTAGCACCGTCCTTCGTTCCGGTCGGTTGCTCCTCGGATTGTCGAAAAGGGAACGAACATTCCAGGCTGCCAGAGTGAGCGGACTCACCCTGCCAGTCTGGTGACAACGAGTGGGGCGACGGGAAGGAGGTGGAGAAGATGGCGAAGGAGAAGAGTAGGCAGAAGAATAGGCAGAGGAAGAGAAAGAAGAGGTAGGATGAGGAGGTGAGCGAGTATTGTTGTTGTTGTTGTTATAGGTATTGTTGTTGTTTCGCTTTTGACTGTTTCGACCATGTTTAGACGTCTACGGCCCTGGCTAGCCTGAAGACGGCGTGGTGCCCAGCTATGTTTAGGCCACCTTTTCTGGGCCCTTCCCCTCGTGGGGACTGGCAGTGCCATCCCTGAATAGGGCTGCCATGTGCCGTTGTGGCACGGCCGAACTCCGCTATGGGGCCAGGACTTCGGGTTGTAGTGGAGAGCGACTCGAATTCGCCGTAATCCGCGGTCTCCGACGCCGTAGGTGGGCGCGTTAAGGCAATATCGATGTGGAGATCCATCCCGTCACCGGCTGTCCAGCGGCGTGCAGAGACGAACCACGTCACGACGGTGCCGACGCAAGGTTTCATCCGACCTTCCATCCAGCGGAATCCGCAAACCCTGCGCACACGGCACAGCGCACAGGGCCCCCTCACCTGGTTTAGCCCGCCGGTCGAGACGGTTGTCCGGGGTGTGGCCGCTGAGCAGAGCCCAGCTACGTGGAGCCACATTGAGAGTTGAGTGCCAGCAAGTGAACGCTAGGCGTAGTCTCACCTGCCAGCAAGTGAGCGACCACCACAGCCACGTGAACCCACCGCTGACTTGGGTCCGAGACTATCCCGACACGTCAAGCGTCGTGGATAGAAGGGTTGCTGATTGACGCCCCCACTCGGTCCACGCAGTTCATCCCGTTTTGTGTGTGTTGTGTGGCGTGGCGGACTGGTGGGCTGGCGACGGGCTGAAACAGCACCTTCCACGTCACTCTCACGCAAGTGAGAGACACGCCGTTCAACCCCCGTTGTGTGAAATCCTGGTGTTGTGTGTATGGGGGGCCAGGTCGTGCTCGTGGCGCGCGCAGTCATGGTCAGTCGACCATGACAGCCACCGCGCCCATTCCCCACTCCAGTCTGCTGACCGGCTCGGACAACGGCTGGGGTGTGGGAGTGGGAAGGGAGAGTGAGGTCGACGACTCAGCGTACTTCCTCCTCACTATAAACCATCTGACGCGCTTGATGCTATCACGGTGCGCTAAAAGCCGTGGCTTGGAAGGTTGCCAACTGACGGGGTAACTTGGGCCTCCTCCTTGACTGGAGGCGGTCTGAGAGTCAGGGTGCAATGGCTCCTTTTTAATATGGCCTTTATGTCACTCCCATCACAGTGTGGGATCCGAACCAGGCGTTGGTGGCACGCCCAGGTGCGGCTTCGGTCGTGCCAGCCTCCAAATCTCTGTTGTTGGTTGATATCCTGGTCATTTGTTGTGTGGACCAGGGGGTGTGGTGGAACGCCAAGGTGAGGATCCGTCCGAGCCATCCACCTGCGGCCCCCCTCGTCTCCGGTCTTCTTGACTCTGTCTTGACACCGGGCTCGGGCGAGGGAGGAGGAGAGAGTGTAGGTAGATGCTATGCAAGTCTACCTGCACTATAAACCCCTGCGTAAGTCACCGTCCCTGCTCCCATTGCTGCTGCAACTGTGGGGCACACGGTGGACATCATTGAAACCGATGGTCGAACTGTCATTTAAAAAATGACGTTTCTTTTAAGTGATAAAAACCGTCTTCAAATGCAAATTAATGTTGAAAAACTATGACGAAAGCAAGCAATGCGGCATCAAGATTAGTGTTTTCGTTTAAATTGTTTGCTGCGTGTAACTATTCATTGTTGCTCACGAACGCCAATGCCTAGAGCAAATCAAATGTTTTTTCCGATGTCTCACCATGTGGGTGTTCGTTAGGGCACTGACTGATTAATTAGTGTTACTTAGCTAAGGTCAAATTCCAGGCCCGCTGCTCAATCTCAGATAACAAGTGAAACTTTGCTTTCCTTATATTTTCCTAGGTTAAAAAATGCCTATTATTTATTTAACTTCTTTTGAAAAGTCGCTTTGTATTGCTAACTACGATTTTTCTTAGTCTGGTTGGACGGTCTGGCAAAGTAGCCGCATTTCACAAGGCGAATTTTTAAGGACGTCGTGTAAGACAGTCTCCTTATAGTTTTGTAGCAAATAAACAGCAGCATTTGTTATTCTGTGCGCTTTATTGTACGTTAGGAACGCTTCGACCCTTGTGCTGCAACGAAAAGCTATCGTGTATGCTGTAATTCCCCGGAAAACACGTGATAAAAGACGAAAGCTCACTGACTTCCCGCCGTCTCTGAGTGCTGCAATCGTGGCCAAAGGCACAGCGGGTGCCAGCATGTGTTCGCTACCTTTCTCTGCATATGGTTAACTTAAAAATTCCATTAGTCCATTTATAATTACTTGACTTTATAAATATTCAAAATTACGCCTCTGATAGTCATAAGAGAACATCATCCGACGAAATACTAGATCAGTTGATATATGCGATACAAGCGACACTTCTAAAAAAAGTAATTAAACAAGCGTTTAAAGATATTGCAGAAAAAGGCCCCGAAACTGAGGGGAGAATAAAACGTGAACATAATGTTATACTGCGAAACATTCTCAATCACATATCTGTTATAGAGGGGGCACATTTGTTCCTGAAAAGTTGTGGCCTGGGTTTCGGTGTTGCACAAGCTGAACGACTGCGCTATCTCAGCCGTAATGCGCCGATGCTGTTTTTTCTTTTCCCTTTGATGGAAAACGACTCCATCTTGTCGAGGTGGGACATAACTAAAGATTTCTGCCGTAAATGGCACTGCTCAGTTTTGCCGGACCTCACGTCGATACAGCGAAGGCTGGACAAACTGAAATTGTCAAAAGCGATCACCGACATAATGACACCTATCGTCAGTCTGAATAAGTCTTCTTCAACATCAGCTGAGGTCCCACTACGTAACAGCATAGTTTATTCCGTAGGGAACTGGATGAGTCTTGGTGCTGAGATCTTTAAACGCAACAAAACGCCTCCTGAACAAACACCCCTACGACTTCCCCCGCAAAACCTAGAAAACCTTAGCTGACGCCTAATTCAAAGGCAAACCCGAGTAACGTTTTAGCCACCCGAACAACAGGTAAATCTAGTTCCTTCGAGAAATTTTTTCCCTCTACGATCTCCTGCCTATGCTTCAGACACCACGGCCCCAAATAAAGCGTGTTTCCAACTACCCCCGCATGTCATATCGAAGCGGTTAATCCGAATATGCCGACATTTCCGTCTTTGAATAGTATTCCTGCCCCAATAGAAGCAGTGTGTTCCTCATCCCCGTAATTTTTCCTCCTCGGCCGTTTGACCAATGCATTCCTCATTCTAATTTCCATAATGTGTCAGTTAACTCACACTTTCCTCAGTTTCACTCCGACGGAAATAGGTTATAGTATCCGGCCCGTGGATTTCCACTAGAAAACCAGCCAGTTAACAGTAGTAGTCAGATTACCTGTCCGTCATTTTCTCCCGTAAATTCGCCTCCTTTTTATTCACGTCAAGATATTTTGATGCCACTGACTGCTTTGCAGAGCAAGATAGGTGCATCCAGACCGCATTTTCCGTGGGCAGTCAATCACTGGACAAAATAGCCCACCTCCTTTAGAAACAAATTCTCTTTCCCCTCAAACTTTTCGTTTTAAATGCCATATCCTTGTTAAATAAGATGCCCTTTCATTAGACTCTGATATTTGTCCGCTTTCCATATATTGTCCTAGTAACTGAGACATGGGCAACAGCTTTTGTTGCTGACTTCGAACTCCCTCTCCTAGGCTACACTTGCATTCGAAATGATCGTCAGGACAGCAGTGGTGGGGACAGTTGCGTCTACGATACGCAAGCACTTGCATTTCTGCCACTGGACCTCCCACATTTTCCTGTGGTAAAAGGCAGCTGCTGGCTCTAATTTTCTCTAAAAAATAAGTTAACCTTCCTCGTTGGCTGTGTCTATTGCCACCACAACGCCAATGAGAATTTTGATCGTTCAGTCTCACTGACATTTCATGCTGCGACCGACTTAAGCTTTAAGTAAGGGTTGGTTGAGGATGATTTCCATCTTCCTGAAGTCAGCTGGTCTCCGCCCTCGGCCCCAGAAGGTTCGAAGACTTTCTTCAGGCTGTGGATGTTGGCATGTGGAGTCAGGTTGTCGGGATTTTCACCCGTGGATAAAGCACACGGCCTAATTTTCTGTAGATGCTGCATGCCTTTGTCAGTGTCGTACATAGTTCCGCTCAGGGGCTCAGACAGTGACATGGTTGTTTTAACGTTAGAAGTCGAGGCTGACAAAACGTTTTCCCAAAGTATAACTTTTTCCGCGATTATCGATCAGCTCACTTGAACGAACTAGTAACACACCTAAATTACTACGAGTAAACTGATTTCTTCCTAAGTTCGGAGGTAAATGTTTGCACTGCAAATTTGTACGAAATTTTGAATCTACTTATTCCTCTTTCCTCTCCCGTAAGAAAATAATTAATGTCGGAATGAGGCATCCTTACCCTTACCCTTTCGTCGCAGGTTGCGCAGACTTTCTCTTCGATTCCATCTTCTGAACAACATTTCCGTTTTGCCCTTGAGTTGTGATAATTTTAGGCGGGAAAAACGATTGTCTGAAGAAAAACAGCCATCCGAAGAGCTCCAGTTCACTGAAAACTGTTAGTTAAATGTCTCGAACCTTTTCTCCCGAAAAGTGAGAACTCACTGAAAGACGTAGCATCCCAACCTCAGAGACGTTCTCGGGAATCCAATAGCTGATACCAAGTGAACCACTGAAAGCTTCGATGGTTTCCTGTCCAAAGCGTTTATTGTAGACTCGACCACTCCGCTTCCGACCATCCAGGCATTGACCGGGGCAGTTCTGCGAACGTAACTGTGACGATTCGGCGTTTTCGTCATTCTCATAGCCCGCGACCTGATAGTGAGCGCTGCGCATCATGGATTCCTCAAAGCTTGGTCTTGTAACGCCTGTCAGCTCCCTTTCTTCGATCATCTTCTCCACTCTAGGGTTAATGGTGTTGTACTTTACGCAGTCTATTTCGATTCCACAAAGGCTTCAGCGAGCGAGAGATTCTAGGGTTCATCCACAGTCCATAAACCAGGAACTCTTCTACGACTGCTTGTTTATTGAAGAGGCTCCCAACTTTTGGCATGGTCCCAGCGTCTGAAATTTCTGATTTAAAGTTCTGAAACAAGCATCCACTCAGCCGAAAGATTCATTGAAATGCTGCACGGATGACGAAGTGATGGTTCCTTTCGACGTGATATCACTTTTCACCTCCATCCAAAGGCATCTCGCTGCTGAAACCATGCAAATCTTGTTAGAAGAACATTATAACGAAACAGACAAAAAAATCTAGATAAAACACCTTATTGATCTCCTAAAGCACCGCTTGTTAACTTTCTTCAACTTCAGTGGAGCTTTAAAAGAACAAAATGAAGGTACACCCACGTGGTCACCGTTATCCAGCTTGATTGCTCACGCAGTGTTACAGTGACTAGAGGCACTGGTTTTCGACTACTACCGGCCCCGAATATGGGCACGGTATTTCGATTACACATTTGTCATCATCAATCGGGACAAGATGAAGAAGTTCACGCTACACCGGAATTCCATTATTCCAGGCATTCAGTTCACGATGGAGGAAGAAAAAGGCTGATAGTTGCCGTTTGTTTACGTACTGGTTGAGAGAAAAGGTGATTGTGAACTAAAAACAACGGTTTACCTGACGACAACGAATACCTCTCATATTCTATGTTTTCCTAACCACCCCCTTCCGCGCAAACGCAGTTGCGTGAGAATACTGTACCGGCGTGTAGAAACGCACTGCATCGAGCCAGCCGACAAGAAGGAATAAGGAGGTTTAGGAAGTGCGTCGAAGTCAAGAGAGATTGGAATTTAGCCCGTCGGCACACATTATGTCATCGGAAGACGACATCTATTACGAACTAGCACACACTTCCAATTACACAACCACAGTAACAGAGTGCAACTGTTCCAATAATTAGAGCACCATGAGCTCGGGTGTATCCGTACTCCTTTCGAGGTTGCTAAGCCTGCGTAGATATCCGTGGCTGGACGAAAACCAGTTCCCGATGGTGCAGAGGTCCAAATCAGTAGGCTTACCAAAAGTCTACTATGTTCGTAATAAGGCCTGTGAGGCAAATGTTACGCATAACGATGATGTTGCCACTAGGGTTGGCAGCAGGTCAGGCGCTGGTGGTGGGTTCTTAGACGAAAGGCGTGATAGTCCTCCTGACACCGCACTGGGCTCGCAGATCATAAAGGAAGATCACCTGAGCCACGGCTATCTAGAGATATGCAACGATGCCAATGCACGACCTTCGATGCGCCAAATCAAGCGACTGAATCCCACAATCGAATAGTCTGCATAGTACGTCCACTTTCCAAAACAGCGACTCATTATTTGTAAGACAAAAAATTTCGGATTCCAATTTTATTTTGAATGCTCGTTACCATCGTGTACTTAGCGTTTTCAAAGGCATTGCCTATTACTCTTAAAAAAATATACTGACCTAGCCTGCAAGCAATGCGAAAATTCGTTTCGGGACTAAGATAACGTCAAACTTTTATCTTGCTTTTAGTTTTTTTCCATATGGCCCATGGCACTGTTATCCCACTTGGTATGTATGTTCGTCAAACCCAAAAGCACACCTTCATAGAAATCATTGGCCCTCATTCTTTTTGTTGGTACGGCTGTATAAGCTTCGGTAAACATACAAACGAGATATTGGGTAACTCTTGCCAATATTCGAACTAGTGAGAACCAAAACAGCCATATATAATGGCGACAGAACCGAGATAGCATAGACTATATTGGGCCTATTTTAGGACTTTTTAGGCCCTGTCATTCCACCTGTCTCACTTGTATGTTGTGGTCACTAACTTATGGTTTAAGCCAAGTCGGCATGATAAGGGAACTATCAGACCGCCAACGAATTAAAAATATATTTGTAATAAGGCGTATCGGTAACTGTTAACCCAGCAATAAACATTCGTTTTAAACATGTCAAAGCCACTTATATAATTATTAACACACTGTTGTCTCCTCGTTAAACAATGTCGGAATAATTGCAATAAAATTAAGAACGGTTAATTTTGCGAGTATCTTTTTCATCATGGGGATCATATCCACGAAATTTCAAATTCTTCCGTATTTTCCCCTTCGAGTACTATATCTGCACGTTAGTTTCAATGCGATGCTTCTGTACCGGTCCACTGGCTCCTTTACTTAATATGGGTCTCTCCAGCCTGTTCCTGGTGAGAAATAGTTTTTGAGTGATTTAACTTCGAAATCGTAGAGTTATTGTTGTGGAAAATTCATCGAATTTTTGATCACTTACGCAAGATGCCCAAAAAATTCCAGCTTACAAAGGCAGGCCGAACCCCGGATTAGTCGAAACTAATATGGGTTTTCTTCTGGAATCGTGCAGCAGTAATTAACGTGATCGAATAACTCAAGGCCTGTCGTAACTGTAAATCAAAATCTGGGCATCGATGATTTAGCAAAATTTTGGCAAATCTTTCCGTTCTAATGCACGTTTTCATCGTTTTGTTTCATTGAAATGATCCCGACTTTTTTTCCTTCTTTTATTTTTAACCTGCCCATATCATTGAAATTTTTGTTCAACTTTTACTGGATTGTAATTTAGGCGCACGAGTCGAGTCCCCACATTTGATCTTCGCAATATTGCGCATACGTTTCTTGCACTTATGCAGACGAAATGTTTTCTTGCCTGGATTAATTCACTTCAGTTAATCTGTCTCACCTGCACTTATTAGTTTATCGTTCTTATTGTTTAATGTTGTTGTCATACAAATATGTCATGTCCGTCATTGTTTGGACTCGAACTGTTACTATAGTAGCAGACTATCTTGTTCAACGCTACCCTATAGGGTAACTTTGTACGAAATAGTTTTTATATTGCTGACAATCCGACCATTCATCTGGGATGTTGCATTGACGACGCAATGTGCAAACGCGTCATTATATACGGTCAATTAATGGACCAGTTCGCATGTTGGCAGGAAGCGTCCCCATATCTTGCTTTCATATATCCTTAGACCACGACGACCGCTACGAAGAAAAGAGATGACCGGCAGCGGTTTTTATGGAGATGTGTTTTATTGGGTTTGTATAAACTGAAAAATTAAGTGAGATAGCAGTGTCATGGGCCATATGAGAGAAAAGCTGGAAGCAGGGATAAAAGTTGTGTATTATTTTAATCCTGGGACGAATAGTCAAAGTGCGTGCAGGTTGGACACACGGCGGCAACGAACATTCCAGACAAAATTGGGATTTGAGATTTTTTGAGCCTCACAAATCATGAGTTGCCGTTTGGGAAGGTGGGCGTGCAACGCACCATCCAGTTGTCGAAATCTTTTGGTGGGTTGGGCGTATCGGAGGTCGTGCATCGGTATCACTGCACCTCTCTAGGTGGGCGCTCGAGTCATCATGCACACCTTGGGTGACCGACGTCTCTGTTTCAGACTAGAAAGACATACTAGAGACTCGACTTGTCTCACCTAAAATTCAACCTACCATCATGCAGCTGTGCGTCTCCGCGGAATTAAGTGGTTTGACAGCTATGTCGTTGAGGACAAAAGTTCGTACTGCGTCATCCGTTTTAAACGCTGGTGTCACGTCTTTCGTCGTATCTCTCACTCATCACTCGCGATGTTTGCAGAATTATGGGACAATATCGCACTTCTAAAGTACTTCACCGACTCCCACTAAAACGGACCTGTCTCGAGTCTCTCACGAATTACTGCAAGGCACAAAAAGAACTATTGGTCCTCGTCCATGGTAGAATTTACCGTTATCAGCCCTTAACATAAATTAGAAAGTTGTCTTTAGTAATTGGGACGCTCTAACGCTGAAAAATCGGCAATACCTGATGTACTCGCGCTAAGCATGAAATAGTAATTGACATTTCCGTCCTAAAATCCAGCAGCAATACGCCGGCCAGTCGTCCCACCTGTTTAGAATTTCTCTTCAAAACTCTCACCGCTGAAGGCTGCCGCAACCAAGAGACGAAATGCGATCTGCCGACAAATCGTTGCAACTAGAATGCCGGCGGACTACATTATATGCCCGTTAGGTACAGCCCTGCTGTAATCCACCTTTCAGCTGGAAATTTTTTCAACCAAAATTCTTGCTCATTTTTGCTTTATTTCCACTCCTTTTTGAAACCGTCTAAACCACTTTCATTTTGAAACAAAACAGGCAATAGGGCAAACGCCAGGTCTACTGGACCTCTTCATACATCTTTTGAATCCAAAAAACACAAAGACGTCACTTTTTCAGTCTTTTCCCCAAAAATCTCTGTATTCTCAGATGATTAGCTTTTCACGCGTAAGAACTCGGTATCTGTTGCCGTCTTTGCGCCCCTGTGACATTCTTGACTTCGTTTGAATTTAACGGGGTCTCTTTTTGTCTTTTCGAACTTTCTGCTCGGTTATCTTCAACCACCGCCTATGGATCTCGCAGTTAGACTGCTAATATCCACATGCCCGAGTGGCCTCTACATATTTTGTCGTCAGTGAATCACGTCGAATAGCGTTCTACGCTGTAAGGACGGGTAGAGGATCTTACTTTATCATCTGCGAGCCCTGTGCAATGTCAGTAGGATTATCATGACTTTCGTCTAAGAACACACCACCAGTGCCGGAACTAGTCACCTCTTTCAATGTCCCCCTTTCTTATTAGCCGTCGCACATATCATTAGTCATGTGCCCGGCATCAAGTTTCGATGGCGATGATGCAGGTGGTTTTTAACGTGAACAATGCAACGTAGTTCGAAAATTCTGTATTTTTTTAGATAGTCCCAACTTCGTAAACTTATTGACCTAAATAGCAAGCCCAGTAAAAGCCAATTTGTTCTAGGGTGCAAGTGTTTCCCGCAAACTCGAAAATTTCAGGACTGAGTGATTTTTCAGTTGAACCCATGTTGGTGCGTGCTACCCACGGT